ATATATATATATATATGCGTGGATATCAGGATCACTTCTAAGAAGTTGCGAAAGTATTTGGATGTATTTTGTATTAGAATTTATTGGAATTAGAAATTCTTTGGTGCAAATTCATAGGGTACATTTGAAAGGATTTTTGAAAAGAGTTATAGAGATGTAAGATGTTAGTTGAGATTTATGTCCGCGTTCTCGCAATCTCTTTTTAATGCGAAATCATAATTCACAATAAACTTTTTTTGGCCTCTAGAATAGATCCTACAAAGATATCCTATTAAGAGCCGAGTGATTGCTATATAACCAAACAGTTCTATCCCTTTAAAATGAAACTCAGTTAAAGTATGAAGTGACATATACACGTATTATAGTGGGTAAATTGAAATTTTATTAGAAGTAAACTCAAATTCTATCTAACTTAATAACTATCTAACCTAACTAACATGCTTGGGAAGATAGTCCCTCCCAATTCGCATTCCCACGCCAGTTTATCTCAAAATCGCTTAATTCTCGTAATCGTGTTGATCCTCTCAGTGTCGAGAGAAACTCCTTTCGAACTTCGATAGTTCGCTGGAAATCCGGGAAAACGAGTTCTGGCATTCGAATTGCTAAAAAAAAAAAGAAAGAAAGAAAACAAAAGGATTGAAAGAGGGAAAAAAGGATAGCTATGAGCGGATTACGCATGCGCGTAGAGGAAAAAATAGGAAGAGAAAATGGCGGGATCGGAGATAGTTTGTGGAGGAAGGAACAAGAGAGAGGTTGAATGCTCTTTTGATTCACCACCAGTTGGTTAACCAGGGACTAACAAGAGCTGAGAATTGCTGTCCCTGTAAAATCGTGTCAGATCGTCAATTTCAATTGATTTCGCTTGCTAGGAACTTTGGTTACGGACATTGGTAACGTTCTAGTGATTTTTAAGAATCTATAGATGTTGAAAAAGGATCTCACTGAGTTTAATCTTAGTTCTGATTCTTGATGATTGCGTTTGAAATTTATAATTCTTATAGTTATATTATATAATGATGTATTAACTAAAAAATGGTCGTGTATAATATTTGAACATTGCGTTATATATATATATTATAACACTAAAATTGTTTGTTGTACAAAGAAAAAAGCTTGCAGGTATAAGGAAATACCACTGCATGGCAAACTATATGTAAATTTGAATAAAATTCCAATGCAAATGAGCAAATGCACGAACAAGAATAAACACGGCAAGGAAAATAAACAGCTTTGATACATACGAAATTCGATTACGTTGCAGAATTTATATCATCCTTATCAATTTTTTCTTTTCCTCTAAATCAAGAAATTAATAATCCTTGATTCTTCTTCGATAAATTCAAACTTTATCCCTAATAATTTTATCCCTATAAATATTATACCACAAAAGATCTAAAAGATCTAAGATGATTAATCGAATCGCTTAACTTCCACGATCACAATTGTTTCTTTCTCGATTACAAAATCTTTCTCGATAATTATCGTTCAAAAAAAAAAAAAAGAAATGGCAAAATTCCTAATAATATTTCAAATTTTGAAGAGAA